CGGTGACAATAAAATTGCTGAGTAGCAGAAGAAAAATATCTTCACAGAAGAATACAACTTAAATATAAGGGAATAGAAAAATCATTTTGCAACCACAGACATAATTATTTACTCAAGCAAGGATCAATGTTTAAACAGTTAAAATAATTCGAAGAAAAGATTGTTGGGGAATAAGATACAATGTTTCAAATTACTACTTTACAGATTAATAATAGAAAATGTACCTTTATAATACTTTGATGAATACCAACGCAATGAAGTGATTAAATTCTCATCATCTATTGGACAAACTGATTTCACTGTGTACCTTATATAGTTTACTGAATCATCTATGTAGCATTCTTTCCAATAATGATACAGAGAAAAAAAAATCAAGTAAATTCAAATTGTGGAACATTCTCCAAAATACTGGCCTGGACATTTCAAAACTGTGTTACACAAAGGGAACTAGTGTTAAAACAGAAACATGACAAACGCAATGCTTTCATATGGCTGGGATGAGGAGGAAGAAAAGGAAGAGTGTGCTTGTGTGTGTCTGTATGCTTAGGAGTGTTTACAGAGAGAAAACTCACGGAAAAAGTTAACAATTTGAGCACTTAGGTAAACAACATTTGACAGTTTACAGTACAATTTTTATGTAATTTTGACATTTTCCAAAATAAAAAGTTGAGATTAAAGTTTTCACATTTCCTTTAGTTTGCTTTAAGTGGCTGTTATTGTTTTTCTTTAATTTTATACTTGTATTTTACCTTCTTATTTTAATTTTAATTTTTTGTTATTTTTGAGACACAGTCTTGCTATGTAGTTCAGGCTGGCCTTGAACTTGTGATTCTCCTGCCTCAGGCTCCTGAGCTCTGCAAGTACAGGTGGCTCTATACCTTCTTTCTTGACCCCTTTCAGCCTAACAAAAAGATATATAAATTAATCACCACCCCAATGTTTCCACACAAAAAATTCTTCAATAGGACAGTGGTTGCTGTAGCATAGAAATGAGTAAGGAGAGTATGAAATAGAAAAAAAGTATGGGCTTTGGAGAAAGAAAATCTTAAGCTCAAATTTTAGTTCCAAAAATTATTAGTGGTATGACCTAGAAAAGGTGTATTTGCCAAACATTGGTCAAAACAGTTTGCTTAAGGCCTGGTAGAGATCTTCGAGGCATACGTACTAATTATAATGCAAAAACACTGCTTGAGGATAGTAAATTTCCTTGATTATTTTCATTCTGTAATCATGACATAAAATCATGAAGTCCTCTCCTTCATTTAACACAAAAGAATCATAACAACCTATATCAAATGTCAGAAAGGATTAAAAAATTGTTTCATGACACAATAAAAAAGTACAAAAAATTAAACTCAACAAACATTTTAGTTCTGGATTTACAGGCACTGTACTAAATGTATATTTGTTGCTAAAATTCACCATTTAGTAAGGGAAACCGATATTTATTATAATACGGGTAAACTGAGCTTAATGACACAATAAAAAAGTACAAAAAATTAAACTCAACAAACATTTTAGTTCTGGATTTACAGGCACTGTACTAAATGTATATTTGTTGCTAAAATTCACCATTTAGTAAGGGAAACCGATATTTATTATAATACGGGTAAACTGAGCTTAATGACACAATAAAAAAGTACAAAAAATTAAACTCAACAAACATTTTAGTTCTGGATTTACAGGCACTGTACTAAATGTATATTTGTTGCTAAAATTCACCATTTAGTAAGGGAAACCGATATTTATTATAATACGGGTAAACTGAGCTTAATGCTGTAACAGAGGTCACAAAGTCTTAAATATTAGAAGGGAGTAAGTAGCTCATTCTAACAGCATTATCGGGAAATGCTTCCTAGCTTAGGAATTACATAAGATCTCATCACCTACAGAGGGAACAGTTCATTCTATGTAAAGGAATGATTTAGTGAATATACAGAGGAATAGAAGATCATAGCAGGTTTGGAAGATAATTAGTATTTGGTATAGAATAGCTAGGCCCTCTGATGTGTATTATGAAATATAGGAATTCAGGCTGAAAGGTTAAATTCAAACTGTATCATTAAAAATAGTCTTGAAGGGCTGGGGATTTAGCTCAGCAATATAAGTGCCTGCTTGGTAAATGTGAGGTTGTGAGTTTGATCCCCAGTACCAAAAAAAAAAAAAGTCTTGAACACTACACTGGGTAGCTAGCATGTACAGAGTTCTGGGTTTAGGCCCTAGTTCTGAGGGAAAAAATTTAAAAAAAGATTTAAAAGCAGAGTCCATCCAGTCAACTTACCAACTGCAGCTGGAAGTGGTATTGCTGTCAGCATCCTAATAAATTGTATATCATTAAGTTTTGGAGTAATTTGTGAAAGAAACTAGGTAAGTGGTACTACTATATATTCAGAGCATAAAAACAGCTTGAGATGATACTTCCACTAGTTGATTACAAAAATAAATTTGGTAGAATTGGGTGTGGTGGCACACTCCTGTAATCTCAGCACTATGGAGGCTGAGGCAGGAGGAACACTGTAAGTGCAAGGCCAGGCTGGGCTACAAAGTGAATTTAAACCAGTTTGAACGGCACAGTGAAGTCCCATCTGGAAAAGATGAAAAGATAAATAATAAAATAAGATAAAATAAATTTGGTGGTCTGAAGAAATAAGGATTCCTTTAACATCCTCAGGCACTTCTCTTAAAGACTGTCTTTGATGTAGCATTTGATATATACATCAAAGCATTTCATGACTAAGACTCTAAAGATATGTTAGCCACTTTTATCATAATTAAGCCAACTTTGGGGAGAAGTAGAAAGTGCAACTTAATAGTTTTGAGCATTATTATGTTACGCATTGTGCTAGGTAATTCAGGAAGAGAGGACATTAAAAGAATTAATTATATATTATGTATCAGGCACTAGGTAAAAGCTTTTCAAAGATGATAACATACATACATCCATTTAATTTAGTTTTTTTGAGACAGGTCTCACTATGTAGTTTAGGCTGGCCTTGAACTTACTATGTAGACCATGCTGGCTTTGAACTTGTGGCAACTCTCCTGCCTCAGCTTCTTGAGTGCTAGGATTACAGGTCAGCCAACATACCTAGCTTTCAAAGATGTAACATTTAATACCAAAATGACCCTACAAGTAAATTATTTTTTTAGGTTTCAACAGCAAGAGACTGATTCAGTAGGTATAGGGAGGGAAGTTGTTAAAGGATCTATTTCCATGATTACAGAGCGACAAGGAGGAGTTCCACTGACTCATTTCTAATGGAAAGTTATTAAAGCCAACAAAACAACAACAACAACAAAAAAACAAATAAACAAAAAAGCTTTCCAAAATAAGAACAAACTTAAACAATTCAAAGCTTCTAGAAGTGACCTGAGAGCAAAGAGCTCATGAAGAAACAGCTATTCAAGACAATCTAAAGCCAGGTACAGTGGTGCATTCCTATAATCACAACTATTTGAGAGCATGAGGCAATAGGATCCAAGTCTGAGACCAGGCTGGATAACTTAGTGAGACCTTGTTTTTGAGAAAAAACAAACCCCCAAAAATCAAAAACAGGAGATGAAAAAGAACATGAAATAGACTGTTTTTAAAGAGTTGGGACATCTAGCTTAATGGTAGAGTGCTTACCTTAGAATGCAATAAGACTTTAAATTTAACCCCCAGTATTGAGAAAAAGGAAAAAAAAGAAAGAAAGAAAAAAAAAGGGAATAAACATCTTTGCTGCAATGGACTGAATGTGTGTCCCTACAAAATTCCATACTGACACATCAGGGTGATGGTATTCAGAGGCAGGATCAATGCAAGGTGAGTATAAGACATGATGGTGGGTCCCTTATAAAGGTTTTTTTTTTTTTTCAAGAGAAAAGCCAGAGAGCTGGTTAACTCTTGTTTCTGTCACATGAGAATCCAAAGAAAAGTTGGCTGTCTGCCACCTGGATGCAAGCCCTTAGCAGATTCTAAACATTGTGGGTTTCTGATTTCACTTTTCTAAAATCCAAACTATGAGAATAAGTGTTTATTGTTTAGGTCACTCAGGTATAGTAAGCTGATGTGATTGAAAGCATTTGGTAACAAGTGAGACGTATTCAAGTCAAGATCGTTGCCTGCCTTCTCCCTCTCAGTTAAATGGGGCAGAAATTCCACTCCCTGCTGTTGCAGTGAAGTACATGGGGCTCTTTCCCCCTCCAGCTTTAACTGGAAGGCCTGCTTCCTGGGAGCAGCAGGACTTCAGTGTTTCTCATCCTACCACCAGTTTTCTGTTGCTCAGACTAAGTCTCCGGGGAGTGAGGAAGAGGAGTAAGGGTCTCCCTTTTTTCACTCTGCTTTCACTCATGGAAAGGAGGCTCCATCTTGGACACAGCGCAGTGAAAATACTGGAGGAAATACAAATGAAAAGTACAAAGTGATAATGCTTCACATCCCATAAAATGTCTAAATAAAACAGGAAAGAAATTAGTTTTGGTAAAGAGAGATGTGGAAAAACTCAAGTCTCATATATTATTGGTAGAAATGTAAAATGATGCAGGTACTTTGGAAAACAGTTTGACAGATCCTAAAAAAGATTAAACACAATCATCCAACTACTGAGCAATTCTACTCCAAGGTATATACCTAAAAGAATCAAATTATTCCATTTGTGTGAAACGCCCACAAGAGGTATGTCTACCACAATGTCAGGAGCTGGGGGGGGGAGGCACTGATTGCTAATGACTTAAAGGGTCTAATTTTGGGGCGATACATTTAAGTATTTTGGAATTGTAGCAAATATTATATAAGTTTATAAAGAATTCCTTGAATTACATACTTTAAAGGGTGAGTGTAATGGTAATGAATTATATCTGAGAAGAATGTAAGGAGGGATAGAGGAAAGAAGGAAAGGTAGAGACAGAGAGAGAGAGAGAGAGAGAGAGAGACAGATTTTTCACTTGGCTGCTTTGGTTTGCAAGGCTGAAATGCACTTGGCCATTCCCATGAAGTCGCACCAAAGGTAACATCTTACCTCAGTTCCGGTCTCTCTCCAGTCCCAAGCCCGACTCCCTCCTGGCCATACTTTGCAATCCTTATAGGTTACAGTAGAGCCTTGTACTTTCATTTGTCCCCATGAGAGGGAAGCAATTTCAGGGGAAGACATAAGTACCAAACTGAAATATGAAAATAGAAGAAAAATATGCTATATCAGGTGAAACAGTTCCAGACAGTAAACCCCATACTCCATGACTTAAGAAGTATCTTTCCTGGACCTGAGGGTGTAGCTCAGGGGCAGCAGGTGTGCCCTGCATGCACAAAGCCCTGGGTTTATCTCTAGCACTACAAAAAAAATTTCTTTTAAGAACCAAGAATATAGCTCAGTGGCACAATGCTTGCCTGGCATCCTGAGTTTGAGTCCCAGTACAAAAAAAAAAAAAAATAAATAAATAAATAAAAAGAAGCATCTTTCTCAGCTATGTAGCTTCACTTACTGTTTAGAAGTGTCAAAAGTCACTATTTTTCTTGGGATCCTGGGTCACACAAGCATGAAAACCAGTTACTACAATTACTTCTCAGACTCTAGAGGTAAGCCTCAGGATATTTTTTGGAGATAAAATGTGGAAATTCATTTTAGTATGATGGACTGAGGTGGTTGACATATCTCTAAAAAGGAATTACACAGCTTAAAAAACAAAAAATACTGTTGAACAACTCATTTGTCACTCTAGAAATAAAATTAAAGGCAAACCATAAAGAGAAGCATTTATTCATGGAAACCACTTAATTTCTAACAAGTACAGCTTTTTTTTGCTGTTCTTGCCTGGCACGGCTCCCATTCCTTATTCTAATTCTGTTGGTATGAAAGTTCATCTAGGTTGGAGCATGAAAATAAACTTTTTACTACTGCCAAAGAAGGTTCACTTGACTAGGAGCACTATCAGTTGAAAAGTGCTCTCAGTGGCAAGAAAAGATTACCAACAGAAGCAGGGACTTCAGAAACTCTCAGAGGTGACCTGGTGGTAGAGGACTCCCAAGTCCCAAGTGGACTAGAAGCTATGAGCTTATGCATCAAGACCTGATAGCCTAATTCACCCCCACATTCAGGCTAATGGAACCTCAGCACATAATTAGGGGACAAACAAGGCTCAAGGGATATCAGCAGGATGTGAAAAAAGATAATTTTGGGCTCATTCTTCAGTACCTACACTAATCCATCAGTAGAGCATGCAAGTCTTAAGTAGCTCAAGGTGTTTTGAGTAAAATCCTGAATGACTCTGGCTGACTATTAAGAGATCCCTATCAGACTTAAAAATAAAAATAAGGCAGTGGGGCTAAGAGTCAAAAATAGAAATTTCAGTAGCTACATATTGCATGGGAAATAGAAATCATAGCTTTCTTTTTTCGGGGCGGGCCAGAGGTTACATGAGATTAGACCCAGGGCTTCATTCTTTGTGGGGCAGTCCTCTGGCCCTGAGCTATATCCCCTTGCTAGCCCTTTATTATTTTATTTTGAGACAAAGTCTCACTATGTTAACTAAGAGGGCCTTAAACTTGTGATCCTCCTGCCTCAGCCTCCTAAGTGCTGGGATTATAGGCATGTGACATCATAAGCAGCTTTAAATTCTCTTTTTACAAAGAATCAGCTTTATTAAATTAAGGCCCCACCCTCACAAACTCATTCAATTTAATTACATGCTAAAAGTGCAATCGCCAAATACAGTAATGTATGGAGATCATTTGAAATTTAGAGATGCAGTCCACAGCAACTAGCCAATGGCAGTCTTGATCTTTGTTGCTTTATTATAACCTTTGAAACCAGAAAGTGAGTGCTTTAGTTTTGTAATCTAAAGTTATAAAAAGATATTCTAGGTTCTTTGCAGTTCCATATAAATTACAAAGAAGCTGGCTGCAATCTGATGGGGACCACATTGAGCCTAACCCAATTCAAACAGCACTTCCATCTTACTGGTACCAAGTTGTCTGCACAGGGAATGAAGCTCAGTGGTAGAGTGTTTGCTTTGTGTGTACAAAAAAAAAAAAAAAGGGTTGTCTTCCCACCTAAGTCATGATTTCCTTTAAAATATTATTTTCAGTCTTTATTTCTTTTTGTTGTTGTTGTTGGTCTTTTTCTTTCTTTTTAATCGGTACCGGGGATCGAACTCACGACTGCCTGCTTGCAAGGCAGGCGCTTATGCCACTGAGCTAAATCCCTAGCACCCAGTCTTTATTTCTAAAACCAAAACAAAAAACAAACAAAAAATCCAAAATAAAAAAAACCAGCTTGGGAATGCAGCTCAGTATGACTGTCCTGAGTTCAATCCCCAGTACTGCAAAACCATCCAAACCAAAAACCCCACACAGTAAATAACTGCTCTTGTTGTTATTGTAAGCGGAATTGTTTCTTGTTTTTCTCTGACCCAGGGCCACTATGTTGCCCAGGTTGGTCTCATTTGAGTTTTGATCTTGAATCCTGAAAACCTGCTAAAATTATTAGTTCTAATTGTTCATTATTTAAAATTTTTTGTATTCTCCAGGATTTCCCATATACAAGATCATGTCATTTAGGACCGAGCTCGTTTTAAATATTATTGAATATTGAATGTTAAGTAAACATTGCATACTGGGATAAACCCCACTTGATCATAGTGGGATTTAACTTATAAATTTTTAAAAGTAAGTTCTTAGTGTGAAACATTAATGTGAGCATGAGAGCACACTCATATAATCTTAGTACTCAGGAGAAAGAGGTAGGAGGACTGCTTTGAGTTGTACCTTGCTGTGAGTTCAAGCCAGCGTGGAGTACACAGCAAGACTGTCTTGAAAAATCAAAAAACAAGAAAAAAGCATTTATATCTTGTGTTCTAGTTTTACTTTTTCATTTTTAGTATAGTTCTGATCTGGATATATCAAAACTCACTAATGAGTCCTAACATACAATTAGGTAACTATTGCTATAGGTTGGGGTACATTTTAAGTATTTAATAATGAAGACAACTTGAATACAGAATACATGAAAATGGAAGTGGAGTGCTGGACAGACTGCTGTATCTGTATCAAAATTCAGTTGCTGGGACTTGGAGGGAGACTGAGTAGCCACTATGACATGTACATAGGAGGTTCAGGGCAAGGGCTATTCTATAACTGGCATGTAAATAAAAGCAGTAGTTTTTTTTTTTTTCTTTTTGTATTGGAGATTGAACCCAGGGCCTCTGTACTAAATGAACTATATCTAAAGCCCTTTTTAAATTTTTGAGACAAGGAAAGTTTCACTAAGTTACTAAGTTATCCAGCTGGGCTTGACCTTGTGGATCCCCCTGCTTCAGACGCCCAGAGTGCTGGGTTTCCAGGTGTGTTCCATCATGCCGGGCTCATACATTGGGGTTAGACTTTTATACCATCAGCCCAGAGAGGCAACAGACATAAGTAGGTTTTTTTTTTTTTTTTTTGTCTTTTTCGTTTTTATCTGTACCAGGGATCGAACTCATGACTGCCTGCTTGCAAGGCAGGCGCTTATGCCGCTGAGCTAAACCTCCAGCCCCCACATAAGTAGTTTTATGGGATGCATGTTATCTGTTTTTCAAGAACAGGCAGGGGGTTTAGCTCAGTGGCACAAGCACCTGCCTGGCAAGTGCCAGGTTGTAAATTCGAGCACTGGTATGAAGAAAAAAAAAGGAAGAATAGACTTTGGAAAGGCACGGCCTAAATCTTGCTTTGTAGTAAAATACTTATCTTTTGACTGGATATACTTTTTAAAGTCCACAAGACTTTGTTCCCATGCCAATCTGGATTAGACAAGGCAAAGACTCTTAACCGTGTTGATCAATCTCCTTTAGAATCACAGTGAGAGCACAGAGAGAAGTACAGTAATGAAGTTTTAAAGCTTTTAGTACTCTTTTAGTAGTACGGGGATTGAACCCATGGCCTTATGCATGCCAAGCAAATGCTCCATCACTGAAGCTGCAACATCCCTTATCCTATTTGTTTTCTTAAAATATTATTTTACAATCTATGAGAGTGGGAGGTGTGGTACCAAAGAGCTGAATGATAGAAATCTGGGTAAGGTTCATATAACAAAATCTTCCTTTCAATTTCAAATAACAATTACTACTGCAATTCCTTAGCAGAGGCATGATTTTATGTTCAATACTATGTATCTGGCTTTCACTTAAGGTCAATTAAATCATGAGTATATGAATTTCTTTTCAATCTTTTCACAAAATGGTTGTTAAACATGCCTTCTGAGCTGTGCATGATGGCGCTTGTCTGCAATCCTAACAGTCTGGGAGGCTGAGTCAAAACGATTATAAGTTCAAACCCTGTCAGAGTAATTTAGAAGATCCTGTTTCAAAATAGAAAATAAAAAATTACTGGGAATGTTACTCAGCGTGAAGGCCCTAGGTTCAATCCCAGTATCCCCATCCCGCCTCACCTCTGTAATAAACATATCACAAAACTTATTTAAATCATTTAAGTATTGAATATACTTCAGTAGCATTAAATACATACACATGGTTGTTCGGACTTTCTTCTATCAGTCTCTTAAACTGGAATATTCATAAATATTTGGTAAGTTTCAAAATAATTTTTGTTCCTTTAGCCAGGGTGTTATTAATCAGGTTTAGAGTACTATTCTAGGGATAAATTTCACTTAAAGAATTTTTTTCTATCTGGATAAGTTTTTAAAAAATTCTTTAGATTTTTTATATTATGTGCTTTGAGTTGTACCTTGCTTTAAATTATTTCTAGGAAGTACTAGATAAGTTTTGGCTCAAAGTAGTAAATTGCAGCTAAATTCAATTTAAATTACAGGAACACATTTCTTTAATAGCAACAATGAATATTTTAAGGTGTTTACAATGTGCTAAGGCATTGTGCTAAACACTTTACTGTTAATTACTAAACTCCAACGATGTATGTACTGTTGGTACCGTACCCCCCTTTTACAAAAGCTCAAAGAAATTAAAGTGTCAGAATGTCATAAAGTAGTCGTGGTAGGGCTCAAACCAGGACGAACTGCTTCCTAAGCTGCACGTTCTATTTCGCACTGTTGGTATTTCTCTTTTCCAGGGAGATTCTTTGTGGGAGAATGTCCACGGCTTCCCCCTAGGAACGGAATTCTGCCTTAAACTTTTCGCTGACCCACAGTTTCTTAGCACGTTCGCCCTCACAGTGGAAACCGAGACGCCCCAGCCCTCGCCCCGGTCCACAGCGCGGCGCCTCCTCTCCACCCCAGGATCCTGGCGGAGCTCACGCAGCAGACTCAGCACGGCCGGGCCCAGCGAGACCCACTCCGCCCAGCGGGCACAATTCCTCACTCTGGAGTACGTTCCCTCAGGCTCTGCTTTTCCAGCCAACAGTCCCATACCCCTCGAGAGCGTAACAGCTCTTAGCAAACTTTCGAGGAGACGTCTGACGACGGTCCCGTCTCAACACGTGATTCACGGTACTGATCTCCCTAACATACTCGCGCTCCTCTCAATTCTGCTTTTTCCAATTCTTCTTTCTCTCTCAACGTCCCCCTCTTGTCTTGTGGCCGTTTGTTCCTAAATTCAGTCCCACCCCACTCCACGCGAAAACTCACGCACCACTTTTCTTCTCAGAGGTGCTCTCGGGACGGCTCCGCACTCGGCCGGTCAACCAAGAGCACCCCAGGAGTCTTTCAGCTCTTCCACTCCCCGCGGGCCACCAGTGTCCGGCTGCAAGGCACAGAGGCACCGCCCCCTCAAGCCTATTGGCTATCGTTTTACAGAAGTCCCGCCCCCGACCTGCAGCCCGCCTCCCCGCCCCGCTTCCCTTGTTTTCGTTCCCGCTGTCACACGAGGCAGTAGCAAACCAAAGTGGGAGGGAAGTAGAGGGAGGAAAGGGGGAGGAAAGAGGACGGAAAGTGAAAGGCACACAGCGCCTCTCTGTCCCCCGTCTGCCTCAGTTCTCGACTGCTCTGGGCCGCCGTGGTATTGTGGGATCGCGGCGCCGACCTACAGACACTGGGATCCACAGGGGAACCCACTCGAGAGCGCCTCCTGTCGTCCATAAGGCTCCCCGGCCATCCTCGGCACCCCAACTCCTCCCTCCCCCCCCATCGCCGCCTCCTCCATCCTCCAGTTCAAAATGGCGACGGCGGCGGCAGCGGCGGCTGCGATGGCTCCTCCAGGCTGCCCAGGTTCATGCCCCAACTTCGCCGTAGTCTGCTCCTTCTTGGAGCGCTACGGGCCGCTGCTAGACCTCCCCGAGTTGCCGTTCCCCGAGCTGGAGCGGGTGCTGCAGGCGCCGCCGCCGGACGTCGGCCACGGAGAAGGTAAGCGAGGGGCCCGAACGCCCGGCGGGAAGCCGCCCTGGCGCGTTCTCCTCTCCGCTCTTGGCGACATCCTGGGCCCCGTCCTCCCTCCAGGCCGCCGCTTCGCCGGGCGAGTCTTTAGCGTGGAGCCCCCGGGGTCCTGGGCAACGGGGAGGCGGGGCGGAGGCCCCCCGGAGCCAGCGTGCCCGGCGGGGAGCGGAGGTGGGAGCGTCGCGGGTAGGTGTGGGCTGGGGGCGGGGAGGGGTCATTGTGCTGGCCGGCGGCCCCTAGGATGTGTTGCCTCGCCTGGGCCGGTCCCCCACCCCTTCTCCCTCTAGGTGGCGGGGGAAGGGGAGCGCAGGTTCCGGCCAGCTTTGCGCTTTTTACTCCTCCCCTCCTCCCACCAAGCCTCCCGACCATCTCTGGGGCCTGTCTTCTGGGGCGCCCCCTTATCTCCCTCTACCTGAGTGGGCGGAGGCCGGCGGACACCAGGCCCTCCCTCCCTCTGGTGGGAACTCCCCCGAGAGTAGGCTGATCCTTCTTTCCTTCCCCTCCAGGGTTGGTTTTAAACACCCCCCAAACTCCTTTCTCGAAGTAGGGAGGTCTTGTCGTAAGGCGAGGGAGGGGGTTCTCCATTCTTGCGTAGGGAGGGTGAAGTCGCTGCAGCTTCTCCGCTTCGGGGACGAGAGGGTTAATTTCTCCTTCATAGTTTTCTGCCTTCCTCTCCTCACCACCCCCCAAATAATAGAAAAGCATCTCCCCACTTTTCCAAACCCTTCCCCCTTTCATCTAGTCTGCAGGGTTGAGGGGAAAGAAGTCGGTTTCCCATTTGCAGGGTTGGGTGGAGTGTTAGTCCGTAGGCTGGAGGAGGGGCTTTGACGGCGGGGGGGAAACAGTTGAAGAAGGTGCTTGTTGCTCATGTTTCTCTCTGGTGCCTCTGGTCTATTATTGGTGTTCGCAAGTGGTGCTCCTTCCACATAAGGCCACCGCGCGGGTGCAGGGCGCATGCTCTGCCCGGCCCCATTGAAACTTCCTGCTGCTGCTGCTGGTTCTTTTGCTGGAGCATCTCAGCGTTGTGTCTGCTTGCCTCCAGCCCTCACACTGAGCGCTAACACTCACCCCCCATTTATTCCCGATCCTTGCCTCTCCTTTTCTGGCACATTTCTTTTCGCAGAGAAGGCTTATTTGTTGAACTCTGAGTATTGCCTTTATCTGGAAACAGCCCTTGGCTGGAGAAGAAACGTTGTTTTCCAAATAGGTCTTTTTTTTTTTTTTTTTTTTTTTTTGAGTCTGTATTAGATGGCCAGAGTGGACTGGGTATTGTACAAGACAGATAGTTGTTTCCTTTCCAAGACAGCAGAGTCGCTCTTCTCTTCTTCTGGAAATGAAGTTTCTAATAACAGACTATATTTACATGATAGGAAGGACCCAAAGTGTGAAGTTACTCAGACTATTATCTGTAGAGAGTATGAATGATGTTCTGGTCACCAGTGACTCACCTTAATACAGCAATTTATGTATAAGTCCTCAACAACTCATGGCTTATAAAAGGTTGAATTTTAACTATAAAATATGGGAGTGATTAATTACCTCATGGAAGACTACAAAACTTTAAAAAATTAACCTCCCAGTATGATCATTTAATTATCAAATTGTATTTACATTTTTTTTAAAAAAGAAAAGGCTTATGTATATTGTTGTTGTTGCATTTTTTTTGATATTGGGACTCGAACTCAGAACCTTGAGCTTGTCAGGTGGGTGTTTGTGCCACCGAGCTATATCCCCGGCCCAATATATTGATTTTAGGATGCCTTAGTAAGTAATAGTAATGTATCTGTCAGAAAACTGTAGGAATTTGGAGAATGAGTTGGTAGTAAATTGTTTTTTGGCGTCTACTTGAACAAAATTAGAGTTGGCATGGGCCTTTTGAGGTGGTATTGTATTTTGGGTAGTATACATGACTTTTTACCTTTCTATTCCTTTTAAATATTTTGACCAGTGCAATTAACTTGTGTCAGTACTAGAAGAAGAAAAAATGTTAGGGTCAATTTGATACTTCTAGCATTGAACATGGGGTCACTAGCTGAGTACAAATAGGAAATAACCTAAGCTAGGAACAATCATTTTGCTCAGCCACTGAATTAGTTGGGTGTAGTTGTTAAGGGATTGATAACATAGTTGAAGACACTTGGCAAATGAAAAGTTTCTGCATGTGGAGTGACTTTACTATGCAGGGAAAATTTTTTCAGAACATTGATGATGGTCAGCCTGCTTGGAATAGTTATTAAAACAATGTCATTCACCCAAGAAGACTTGAAGTAAGTTTTTTGGAAAGAGTTTGTGATATAGTAGAGGTGTTTTTTGTTTTGTTTTTGGTACCAGGATCGAACTCACACTTGCCAGGCAGGCAGTTAGGCCACTGAGCTAAATCCCCAGCTCTAGAGTTTCTTTTAAAAATATGAATTTTTAAACTGAGGGTAATGTTTGTAATTCAGTATTCTGGAGGCTGAAGTAGGAGAGAGTTGCAGTGAGTTTGAGGTTAGTCTGGGCTACATAGTGAGTTCAAGTCCTGACTGAGCTAAGAAGACCTAGTCTAAACTAAACACTTACAAATATTCTTTATTACAGATTTCATTAAAGATGTTTTTCAGATAAATGACATGACCCACATTTGGAATTAAAATATTAAATTTTTAGTATGTTAGCACAAATACGGTATTGAATTGTACTTATGGGGAAAGTGGTACAATCAAATGAATTTTGCTCTATATAAAGTTAATAATTAGTTTTTTTTTTTTATCATCGGTACCGGGAATCGAACTCGAGACTGCCTGCTTGCAAGGCAGGAGCTTATGCCACTGAGCTAAATCCTCAGCCCCCAATAATAATTAGTTTTAATGCCACTTAAAAATCCTAGTTTATAAAAATTTTTGGTAAATTAAGGCATCCTTTAGAAGGAATTGTAATTACAGTGTATACGTGTTTAAATGCTATGTTATCTTTTTCCTAAGATTTTGTAAGTTCAATTGAATATTGTAGCTTCAGCTTAAAATGCCCCATCCTGAATCATGAAACTCTGCATGTAACAGAAAATAGAAGATTAGTTGGTGCCCTCTTAATTCCAGGGGTTGAGAAGTTGTGTAGTGACCAACAGGATGTTGCATAAGTAATTATAGTTACTTGAGAATGATATAAAAATAGGAGTTTTTTTCAGTTTAGGTGGCTTTCCGCTTTCCACTTTCCACTGGGTAACAACTACTTAATAAATGGAAAGGCTACTATGCATATCTTGGCCTGGGGTTCCTGTAAGAAAAGTACTGAGACTGTTGTGACTCTACAAAGTTTGGGAATCAGTGCATTGAGTTTTAGAGTTAGAAAGGACTGTTGTGTCATTTTTGTCTTTATTTTGCGGGGAAGAAAACCAAGGGGCAGAAATAGTTTTCATTTGTATACAGCTAATTATTGGTGTCATTCGGACTGTTACTTGAAAACGCTACCAGAATACTGCATTATCAGCAAAAAAGTTTGTATTTACAGTTGATGTTAAAAGGAGGAAGAGTGTATTCTAAATGAAGGTGTTTTCCTCCTCCTTTCCCTGCATTCTACTTTAGTCTTCCCAGTTCTGTTCTATGTGTGGCAGTCCTTGCTTCCTCCTGACTGGAAGTAGATAATTATGGGGATGGAGTAAAATAAAAGTGGACATTGAATGTGAGATTGCTGACACCCAGGCTTCCTAAGTACCTTTCTTTTTCCTTGAAGGATGCTCTTTTTCAAGAGGAAAATAAACTTTGTCCTTGTCACCCACTTCTCCCTGCTTTTCTTCTTCGGGACTAGGACTTAAACCTAGAACCTCATGATGCTAAGCAAATGCTCTACCACTGAGCTATATCTCTAACCCTTTCATTTATTATTATTACTATTATTATTTTTCATTGAGACAAGGATTCATTATAGTTCAGGCTAGCCTTGAACTTACTATGTATCCAGTCCAGGCTCAAACTCTCAGCCATCCTCCTGCCTCAGCAGCTTGAGTGCTGGGATCACAGGTATGTACCACCATCCTTGGCCAAGCCCTTTTATTTTTTAAAATCTTGCTGAGTTGCCCAGGCTGGCCTCAAAATTGGTGGTCCTCCTGTGTCAGCCTCTTGGATAACTGGGATTATAGGCATGTACTATTAAACGTGTCTAGAAATAAATACCTTTTAGGGCATTTGTTAGAAGAAATATAGCAATATATTTCTGCTGCGTTGTTTTTGTGATGTCACAGAATTAAGGTAACCAAAGATTATGGAGATTTGAGGGAGGTGGCTTAGTATTGTCCTAGGACTAGAGAGACCAAACTACTCTGGGTAAAATGAATTTACAAACACATACTAGCTTAAGAAAAACTTGCTTTTAAATTTAGATGTGTTAAAATTTCATCCAGGTCACTGGTCAGAAGTACCTACTT